AAACTCTTGGCTGTTTGGGGTCATCCCGCCCAATTAGCCCAGATCCCCCCCAGATCGCCCCCTCGGGGCTCGGGGCGGCCGCGCAGCTGCCCCAAATCGCCACCTGCGCCTCCGGGATGCCCTTTTAATCCTATTAGAGAGTCAGGCTCGGRCGGGAAAAAGGGATAAAAGGGGAGAAAATGAGGGTTTTGCCGCCTCGGCGTTGTTGGGGGTGATCTGCGGCCCCTGGGGGGCTTTGGCCGTCACTTGTCACCCTCTGCACCTTCCCCCTCCTCCCGGGGGCCACCCGGCTCTAATTAAAGCAGCGGCGCGGGGGTTAATTAACACGGACGRTGTCAGATATTATCCCGATCAAACGGAGAGGGGTCACACCCCACAAAGTTTTTCCCCCAAAAAAGCCTCTCAGGAGGGTTTTTTTTTAACCCCCTCTTTCATGTCCCCCTCTCGGGTCGCGTCACCCCCTCCCCCGCCCCTCATTAATCACCGTTAATTGCCCCCCTCGCCCCCCGGGGACTCCGCAGGTGTTCGAGGGGACATCAGGGATCGACGCCAAGGCGACAACCTGCGAGTTCACGGGCGACATCCTGCGCACGCCGGTGTCCGAGGACATGCTGGGTGAGGGCGGCTCGGTGGCGCCGAAATTTGGGGGGTTCGGGGATTTGGGGCATCCCTGGGCGGGGTGTCGGGTGACATCGAGCTGTGACTGTCACCTCAGACAGGGACAAACGCCCCTCCCCGAGTTATCCCAGGGAAAAACGCTTGGGATGGGCTGGGGAAGGGGTCCCGGGTGAGGTGGAACCCCATTCCTGGAGGTGTCACCCCAACCCTGAGAGTGCCACCCCAACCCTGAGAGTGCCACCTCATCCCTGGAAATGTCACCCCATTCCTGGAGGTGTCATCCCTATCCCTGGAAGTGTGACCCTGTCTCTGGAGGTGTCACTCCATCCCTGAGAGTGTCACCCCATCCCTGGAGGTGTCACCCCATCCCTGGAGGTGTCACCCCATCCCTGGAGATGTCACCCTATTCCTGGAGTTGTCACCGCATCCCTAGAGGTGTCACCCTATCCCTGAGAGTGCCACCCTAACCCTGAGAGCGCCACCTCATCCCTGGAATTGTCACCCCATCCCTAGGAGTGTCACCCCATCCTTGAGAGTGTCACCCCCATCCCTGAAGGTGTCACCACATCCCTGAGAGTGCCACCTCATCCCTGGAAATGTCACCCCATTCCTGGAGTTGTCACCGCATCCCTAGAGGTGTCACCCTATCCCTGAGAGTGCTACCCCAACCCTGAGAGTGCCACCCCATCCCTGGGAGTGTCACCCCCATCCCTGGGAGTGTCACCACATCCCTGGAGGTGTCACCCCCCTCCCTGGAGGTGACCCCATCCCTGGAGGTGTCACCCCATCCCTGGAGGTGACCCAATCCCTGGAGGTGTCACCCCATCCCTGGAGGTGTCACCCCACCCCTGGAATTGTCCCAGGCCAGGCTGGACAGGGCTCGGAGCCACCTGTGATAGCGGCAGTGTCCCCGTGGCAGGGGGGTGACATCGATGGCATTTAAGGTCCCTTCCCGCCCCATCCAGTCCGGGATTCACTCGGGATCCAGGTGTGGCTCCCGTGTCCCCTCAGGTCCCCGAGTTCGGGTACCCCCCAAGTCCCCTCCCCGCCCCCTCTGGGGGTGTCCAACCCCCCTAAACCCCATCAGATCCTCCCGAGCGTGTCCCCCACCCCACGGGGCGGTGCCTGCGGTCACTCGGTGTCGGGCCGGGGGGTGGCCCTGTCCCCGCGCTGACCCCCCGT